GCAGCCAAGGAGGAAATGAAAACATGTTTATCATTTTGATAAACAGCCCCTCTCATTGCTGCAGGACGCTCCGTGTAACTCAGCRGAGTCAAATACTATTAAATTGTCATCACTGTCACAGGGAGAACGTAGAAGTTTTGCTACCTGAGTCATAGTTAATGACTTCCACGATGTATAACACAAATCAGTAGTGCTGTTTGCCTTTTTTTATGTTTGTTTACTGATAAGTTCAGGCTTGGCTGGAATGCAGAGGCGARTTATAATTTTGAAGCGCAAAATATGCTTTTATTATTACCTCCTTGCTAGAGGTATAAAAAACAGAGATGACTAGAAGATGGCTTTTTGGCTTCTGCCAGGCATGCACTCAGACCCTGTAGGTGATTAGATATTTTAAATCACAGCCTCCCACAGCAGGTTCATGCTTGTGATCAAATATTTCACTCTGCGGTGTGTAAACTCAAGGTGGCTTTATAACAGAGACAAAAATGAGCATCATTTCAGGAGTTTAGTGTCTTCCAATCAGAATGAAACCATTTGCAGGGGTAACAAACTGTTGTCCCTGTTTTACAGTAAGAATGATGCATTTTTTTCTACAGTTTTCTATTTTAAGTCTGTGCAGAACACAGATTTCTGGAAGGMTGGGGATATGAGCAGAGTTGCAATGACACAGCTGCCATCTTCAACAGCCCAGAATCCTCCCTGGCAGCCACTTCTGTCCCTCCTGTTTTGGTGATGTCACATTTCCCTCATCCAGAGCTGAGGGTCTCCTGTGAATGAGTTTTCAGACAGGATCAGCTGTTCTCACTGTCAGCTCCTGCTCTTGTTTGGTGTGAAGAAGATAAAAGCCATGATAGGACATTTTCATTCACCTCTGAAGCTTCTTGAAGGAAGATCGATGCTCTTCCTGATCTGCAAGTTCCAATTCCATTTCTAATCTTCTGATTTTCTTGGGGCAGAAAGGAGTTATTAAAAAAAAAAGAAAAAAGCCAGATGGATAACACAGCCACTTCATGAAATGTAGCTGTCAACACAACATTCAGAAGACACTTTGAGGATTTCAGGGCCTTTTCCTCTCCTTTTCAGTTCAATGGCAAATCCCCTATTGACTTGAGTGAGTTGGATGAGGTTGTTATTGCAGAATCAAAGCCAGAAGCTACTGTAGCTCAATAGACCATAAACTTCCAAAAAAAAGAGACATTATTGGGGTTTATGACAAGGATTCAAACTTTTGCTGCACTTACAGCCTATCAGGTCAATAATTTTTTTTTTTCCAAGACTCTTAGCCATGTAATGTACCCCCAGATCTTCCCATAATCCAGATGATCCATTGAGAAAAAAAAAAACAAAAACAAAAAAAACAAACCAAAGACTGGCTGAGGAAAGTCATCAGATAAAAAAAAAAAAAAAACAAACCAAAGACTGGCTGAGGAAAGTCATCAGATATTGAATTAGAGCATTTTTTGTTGCTCTCCCACCCCCTCCCCCAAATGAATACAGTTGGAAATAAAAAAAATAAAAATCACAGGATGCAGAGGTATTTYACATGTCCATCTGAGCACATTATGTGGTTTTCAGTGGAAACTGAATACAGATTCATTCAATTAATTTCTTCATTTATGCAACTGAAATATAAATATATTTAAATAGAACCTCCCACCCCCAGTATATTTGTGAATGATGCAGTAAGGACTGTGATTATTCAATGCTTTTTTTTTTTTTTTTTTTTCCCTGTTCTCACTGGGTCCATTTATATCTGTCTCTTCCCATTTTGGATATGGCTTTTTGAAAGTCTCACATGTACATGCACGGTTGGTAAAATCCATAACAGCAAAACACATTGCATGCAATTGTAGGCATCCATGGGCTAAACATGTTTTAATGGATAAGTCTGACCCAACTCCACAGATTTTTCAGAAAAACAGGGTGTGTGTCATGCAGAACTTTTTCCATATGAGGTGGATTTTTCTTCTCTGTCAGCRCTGGAAAGGGTCTTTGTATTATTGTAATTATTATTACATGCATACTTTTATTGTCTGTATAGATAAAACTTCCAATTAATGTGTTTAGCTGTCTAGCAGTTAAACAAAATGTTTTTTCATGGCTTTAATAGTTTCATTTTGTTTTGTCCCTCCTAAACAACTATGCACTTAGAGCTAAATTCTTTACTGCTCCAGCAACTTGAGCTTCCACATAACAATTAAAGGTGTTATAAAGCTCCTCCACCACAACCCATTATTTTGAATAGATAACCAAATAAGCAAGACTAACTTATGCGGTTCTTGGTACTCATACAGCAAATTAATAGAGGAAAATTAAGCATTTAGGTTATTCACAGATATTTACCACACAGTCTGTGTAGTCCAAAATTAGAAATGCTTATTACCATATGCATTATCTTTATTGTTGAAGTTGCAATCAATAAAATCACAAATCTCTCTTCTCCTCGGGCATGACCATAAGATGGATTAAACCAATGAGAATCTTTTCATTGCTTTCAATATGATTTGGATGGGGGGACAGGGAGTTTATGTGAAGGATTACYTCATAGAAAATGCAAGCATTTGGGGCTGAGTTGATTATCACAATTCCTCTTACTCCTCAGAGACACTTCAGAGCCCGTTTGTCAGAGGATGGCTCTCTGAATGGTTGGGATCTCTCTTCTCTGACACCTATTGGCTTTCAAAAAGCTTGTGTCAGCAGGCCAAATGCACCTAATAACTAAGGGATGCAGCAGCATGTCTCTCCAGATGACTTTAATATTTACTACAGAGTTAATCTCGTGCTTGCAAGCTCATCAGTGCCCAACCTCATGACCACACAACCCAAGTTCGTTTATCCTAATAAAGGGGTGCTCACTGCCTTTCATCCCCTGACCCTCCCTGGAAAGTCAGGGGTTTGGAAATTTGATATTATAAAACATTTCCAGCCTTTTGTGAGTCCCTGTTCACTGGCAGCTGCTGCACCTTCAGATGCTCCAGGTACACCTTATGGCACACCAGAATCAGGGGAGGGAGGTTCCTCCTGCCCCTCTGCCCAGTGCTTCACCAGAAATGCCACATTTGTAGAATCCCCAGGTGCCAGGACTCGCTGGGAGATGCCACTGTACTCCCAGTCCTCTACCTGGTGCCTTTTCAGCTCATTTTAGACTTATGAGGCAGACACGGTTAATGGGATAAAAGGGTTTTATCTGGTATTTAGTGGAATCCCAGTGCACAGCTCATCAAGCTGGGAAATGCCAAAGATGCACCCCATGTATAACATGTATACAATTTTTACAGACCGTACCAAATTAGCATATCCATCTAGAATTCCCCAATAAGAAACTTGACAAATGAAGTCATGTCCCCTTGTTTTAAGAATCCCCCTCCAGATGAGGCCAGAGCTCTGTTTACATGATTTGCTCCAGACAGAAGGCTCCAACCAAGGCTGGAACCTCGAGTTTTGAGGTAGCATGGGGCACACTGGCCTCCCACTGGGATTATTTACTCTTCTGCTTAGCAGAACCCCAAAACTGAGCTGGAATATCAGGCTACAGGAATTACAATCATGTAGGGAAACAGTACCAGGAATATATACAGGGTACAGAAAAAGTCTAAAAGGCAATATAAAAAATAATAAAATAAAATACAAATTTTATATGAATTATATATATATATAATGAATTATATATAAAGTATAAAATAAAATATATTAAAGGGTATATAAAATATATTAAAGGCTATGTAATAAGCAAAAAAACCATCAGGCATGGTACCAAAACCCCTTGTTCACAGCCAGACATGGATCAGCATCCCCACATTTATTCTCCTGCCTGGTTGCACAGCACTACTGTGTCAAAAGCTCTCAATATTCTTCCAAAATAGTGGAAGCCTAAGACATAAGTAATGTGGTTTGAGCCAGAATAAAAGCACTGTACAGTTAGTTCTTAATAGCATGAAGGAATAATGCTCTTCWAGAAAAGCTTCTTGCACATCCTGCCCTTCAGTGGGCAGCACATGAGCTTTTGCACTAAGATGAAGCAAACCCTGCCAAATTTATGCTGCAGATTCAGTAAGCGGCCAAATATCTGTGGGGAACTGCCTGACAGCATTAAACACTCAGTGATTATGAGCTGAACAGAGTCTGAGGTGAGGGATGGAGAATGGCCTGGGCAGTGCATTAACCCACTGTGGTGTTTGTCACTGCAGCGCTGAGGTGAAGGGCAATGGCTCACCTGACACTTCATTTCTGTGCTCAGCATATGCCACAAACACCGAGCATTCTTATCCCAAAACCTCTCTGTCTATCACTCCTCTGTGTTCTCCATCTAATAAAACTATGGCAAATGTTCATAAAGAGCAGTTAGGGAGAAGACAAATTAAGCCTGGAGATCTCACACGCAATGGGGATGTTTCCTTAAAATGGCCAATTTAGTGAGAGGGGGAGTGAAGGGAAGTGCTGTTGGGCCACCCTGTAATTTGGAGAGATTCATTGTTATTCCCTGAGGGCTGAGTGCTAGCACAGAATCAAAGATTTGGGGGAAAAAAATCTTGTTTCTAGATGGATTATCTTAGTCTCTGTCCTTGTATGAGAAAATATTTGGGGAAGAGGCCTCCAATATTATAACCATAAAATCAGCCAACAATTGTTGCACATCTTCTGTAGTATTTTACCTACATTTCCTCTGGCCCAGACCTTGGCACTGTYATTTTTAGGCCAAAAATTACATGGATGTCAGAGAAACTTCTAATATAAGAAAGGCAAGTGACACTTAYCTACATTTTCTATTAAAAATGGAGCATAGCAGCACCCAGCTTATTGGGGAGCACACAAAAAGATGGAAATAACTCTGAAATCCCACCTGTAAAGAAGCTGGGCAGGGGCACAGGCAGGAGCACGCCTGGATGCTTTGATTAGCCACTTCTGCTCTTCCTAATCAGAGTGTCAATATTCTCTTTTTTCTTTTCTTTTTTTTTTTTTTTTTTCTTTTTTTTTTTTTTTTTTTTTTTTTTTTTTGCCAGAAGGAGGAACGTGTGAAGTTATAGCAGCACACAGATGCTGTAATAAGAATCGAATTGAGGAAAGATCACAAACAGTAAAATGCTCCTGTCTACCTGGGAAAGTGGCTGGGACTACAAGAAACAGACCTTCCTGTGTTGATGGCAAGTAGCTGCTCCTGTATCTATGTTTCTGTTTGTGTACCATCCATGGAAAGCTGTAAATCTACAGATTGTGCATAGGAATTTTGTTGTGTTCTTTATTTAACAAAATAGGAAAATCTGGAAGCTTAAGTATCTATTTAGACCACCTTCTTGGTCCTTTAGTGCATAGCTCTGTGCACACAGGTCATGTTAAGATTGACCCAAAAACTGTGAGCAAAGTGCCCAGTGTAGATGCTTTGATAAGAGATTTATTRTTGATAAATAACTGGACAAAATTATCCCTTGCGTCACTTCATGGGCCCCATCGGTGCCACATTAGTTTTGATTCACACATAATTCAACAGACAACTGCCATTCATTTTGATTTAATTTGCCATTTGGAAAGTCAGTGGCAAGACAACATAAATGAATGAATCTCATTTTCTTGTCTCGAAATAAACATTGGAGAAAGCTGGAAAAAAAAACTTTTGTCTTTTGAAATCATTGCTGCTGTTGCTTGTCATGGGGATTTTTTAATTTTTTTTTTTTTTTCTGAAGGAAAAGCACCATGTTATTTGTGTCTGGGTTTCATATCAGGTTTAGGTCCAGAGGGTGTTTTCCTCTCTGGGGTTCMCCTGCAAGCCCTGCAAGGTGAAACCACTCTGCAGTCAGGGAGGGAGCCACAGCTGGGAACTGCTTAGCAAAATATAAATCCCATAAGAAGATGGGGAGTAAGTGGTGCTAATCCCATTAGTTACCCTTCCCAAACAAGCTGCTCTGTGTTGCAGGATYCCTCAGTGTGGCAGCTTTGTGAAAKGGAGTATCTTGTAAAAATTCCTCGCTGTTTTTTGTGGCGAATGTCGTGTGCTGCTGTTTCTACCACCCCCCATGTGCTCCAGAGATCCGTGGGTTGGTTTGTGCAGCACTGTAGGCTCTGCAYTGGGCTCTCCTCGCTCTTCCTACGTTGGAATCCCAGGGCTGGTGGTGGTTTTGGAAGTATTGCCTCTTTGGGTCTCTTTTTTGGGATTCAGCTTCACCCCAAGTGAGTGAGAGTGGGGAGGTCTTTGAGCAAATGTTGGGAAAAATGTTCCTTTTTGGGTACCTTTCCAATCCCAGGCTGCAGAAGGATTAGAATGGAGCACGGAGTGGTCCAGTGTAGCTCAGACAGGAGCTGTAATTACACAGGAATGTTGGTGGGTGTTGTGGAATGGAGAATTGCAAAGACAAAGCTCAATCKTGCACATTTGACACCAAAAAGTGAGAGATTAGGTGTGCCTCAGAGGAATGAGAATCTTGTGTTTTCTCAGCAGGTATATCTGCCATATGCATATCTGGTTTATGTATTAAAGATACAAAAGGGAATGTTTTATTATTTGAAAAACACATTCAAATTTTTAAATTATGAAGCAGTGTTTCACAGCTTGTTACACTGGGAATGCAATTCAGCTTCTGAACTCATGACTAACACCATGCTATGAATGCACCTGTGAATGMTTATGCTTTAATCCACATCCTGTCATTCTGTTATTGCTTAATTACCCTGATAAAAAGAAGCTTTTCTTTTTCTGCTAAGCACACTCATAAAACGGTAGGTGAAAACTACAGCTGGTCGTAACCAAAGATCAGCCGTACAATCCTTGAAGAATTTCATGTTCTTCAGCAGGTCATGAAATACAGAGGGAGCAGATAGAGCAGAGAGGCACCATTAATTCAGCCCTCATAACTCTGTTCAGAGGAGAGAAGCTCAAAGAGTGCTGCGTTAAGAATAAAGTCGGGTGCAGGTGTGGACTGGAGCCTAATTGCTCTGTCAGGATTACAATAAAGAGAAATGTTATTGTCTGGAATTTTGAAAGGAGTTAGGATAAAACAATGGCTAATATGAAAGTGTGAGGCAAGTCCCATTGAAGTCACTGGTAAGACTCACTGTGACTTCAAAGCCAGMAATCGTCAACTACAAAGGAATGTCTTCCCCTTTCAAGTTTGGTTGTTGCCGTCAGCCCACAGCTGCTTTTGTAGATGGCTGGTGAACGGCTCAAAAGCCCAGCATTCTGTGGTTAAAATTAATCCAAGGGATATTTGCTTTGGCCTTTGTTTTATCCTGGACTTTGCTTTGTGATTTTTGACACACTGACCCGGTTTGAATCAAAATTTTGTCCTGTTGCTGAGACAAACTCCCAAAACTTCCAGTGAGAGTCCCACTGACGTCAGTGCTTTAATTCATGCAAAGATTCGGGATTTGCTGTTTCTTTTTTACATAAGGACATTTCAAGAGGTCACCTGCAACTTTCTACCTTCTTTATGTACCATATTGAGAGGATTAAGAGCAGTTAATMTCATCTAGGTTTTATTTACACTGTGTAAATGTAAATGATTCCAAGCCATAATGTGAAACTAAGAAACCTTGCTTGGGTCTTAATTAAATACCCACAGGAGTTCAGGTACAGCAATATCTTCAATCCCAGATAGAGCCAACAGCTCTGGGAAGTGACAAGGACTGGGAGACCCCTGTGAGCAGTTTGGCTGATTGTCACCTTGAGCCATCTCTACCTCGTGGCTGTTCAAAAGTGTGTACAAAACAGGCTGAACCTCAGTACTGCCCTGCCAAACTGTGCCCTAAATGTATGACATTTCCCASTGTGCTCCCTTTTGGTGTTTCCCAGTTTAATTTCACGAGAAAACGTCTCTTCAAGGCTGATGCTTTGACAGTTTGGGTCCATGTTACAGAAGAGGTATTGCATTTCCTTCCACTCCTTCCAGCTATTGCTCCAGGACACAGCTGYGGGTGGGTCTGTGTGGAGACTTGGCTTTGTTTTCTCTTTAAGAGAATGCAATTATATCTTGGAGTCATATTAACATTTGGAAAAGCATCAAAGTTGATGAATGATCCAGTGGTGAGGTCTGGCCATGGATAGCACACCATCCCAGCACACAGGATACACAACCCTCCTCCTGCAAGGGCCCAAATTCAGGCTGAGGTTGTTATTTGTGCCATGAAGGGCACGAAGTTGATGTGTACTCCCAGCATCACTTCCTGCCAAGTCCAGCAAACTTTTTCTTTGGGGTCTCAATGAATTATAGTCAGGCCAGGCTGTGGCAGCCTCAGAGTTTGTAAATTATTCCTTTTGGTTCATTCACTGCACACTGTCCTAAAAGCTGCCTCAATCATGGGTGAATTAAACAGTAGCAGCATTGGGAGCAAAACATTAGCCAAAACTTGTCATGAAGCACAGACACCAGTTCCTGTTTCTTTGCCTATCCTGTTGTACCTTTACTTTGATGATTCCCTTCACTACTTCAAGGGTTTTGTTATTTGAAGGATGGTTTGGAATGCTCCCTTCCCTCCCTACAATTTTTCTTGCCTGCCACTTGGCCATAGCACATACCACAGGCAGCAGCTCAGCTSTCTGCCATGGATATTGTTATTTTCTTCATTTGCCCGAATGCTTCTCTAGAACAAGTCCCAGGTGGATTAACTTCATTTTGTGTTAGAGGAGCTTGAGAGGATCCCTATTTCTGGGCAAAGCAATGCCCAGCATTTCCAGAGGGCTCATGGAGGCTCTCAGGTGCCTCAGCACAAATCGCTGTCGCTGGTGCAATTTCTCCTGTGGGCTGAGGTTTTTTTATTCCTTTGTCATATCATTACTATAAAAAAAATCGTTATAATTTTAACACTGTCACTTTTATATTGGGAATATTGTGCTTTGTGCCATATCCTTTAAAGTGGTATTGAACCATCCTGCACAGTCAGTAGGTGGTTATGTCTGTGTGTTCTTCAAGCCTTGTGARTAATATATAATTTGCTCTTCTATACTGGAGTTTACTGTGTTATAGCCACTGCTCTCTTACTGTTATAGCCACTGCTCTCCACACATTTTTTTTTTAATGTTTCATTTTTCTGTTCCCTTCCCTTCAATCTTCTTCCAGGCTATTTAAAACTCTTCCACAGGCAGCCTCATATTTCTTGCATAATTATCTGTGAAATTTGTTGGACCACAGAGTATGGAATAACAGAAAAGCACCTGCACTGGCTTTTGAAATCAGCCACAAAAGGATTTTGATGCAGGTTGTGCATGTTGCCAGTGCTTTTAGGAAATGAGGTGGGTTTAACACTGGTCAGAAACAATGAGGAAAAAAAGAAGGAGGTWCTGAAATGCTGTGCAGGGTTTTTCCCTCTAAATTGTACCTGTAAGAAAGGCCTCTRCAGACACCTGAGGTGATCCTATTCCATGTTGTTCCAACACAGGATTTGAAGCTTTAACTCTCAGGCAGCAGGATTGGTGATTTGCTCTCCACGATCTGCTCTTGTCCTGTTTTATATCAGTCACACATCAGGGGAAAAGGAAATCATTCACTGATACAGAACAATAAAATGAAATTAATCCAGCGTTTCCTTTCTCACAGATTGGCTCTGGATCACCTCAGATATCATGCCACAGTGTATGAAATATTAACACACATGTACACACTTCAGGTTTCTATTCGCTTGAGAATCATCCATCATGAGCCACCTGTGGCCCCATGAATTTACACCAGATTGCATCAGGACAGCACTACGAGACCAAACACGAGTCCAGCTGACCAGAGGGAGCACTCTGGCTGTTAATTCCTCTCTGGGCCAGCCCTCTCACCTCTCCAGTGGTGCTGCTGGATGGCTGGTGCTGCTCATCCCTGTTTTTCCATGTGCAAGGACAGCAGTCACAGCTCACATTCCATTTGCTGGGSTTTGCCTTCCTCTCTCTCACCCAGCACCTACAGATGTAAAGGTGACACCTGGTCTGTCACTGCCCAGGCTCAGAATAAGTGTAACAGCCACTCTGTTGGCATGAATGAATTTATTTTAGTTTTTAAATTAGGAGTAAGATTTTAAATTAGAGGTGAGATACCCGCTGTGGGGTGAGCATCCCTAATTCAGGAGTGCAGGGTTCCTTCAGCACAGAGGTGCAGCACATCCCCCTCAGCATCCTCCCAAACACTGCTGCTACCCCAATTTGACCAGCAGAGAGGTGGGCAGGGATCACACA